GGTTTTAGAATGAATAAACCTAAATCAATTATCTGACTACAGTAAAGAACTATAAGAACTCATTTATAATTGTTCAGAATGATATAGAGTAATCGTCGATCATTGATATCTATATATACAAATATTATCTAAAATTCATAAAGAACTTTCAGTTCAATCAATTCAAGACTCATTCCCAGTTGTTTTCACACTTTGACACTTGGATTCATTTATTATCACACCTTAATCTTTGGGCTAACAAGATGTACACAAGCACAGGTCGTGAAGGGCGCAGGCTGTGCACAGTAAATAGTTCGCAGTATTATATCTTAATCTATGACTAGGTAAAATAGTGTTGTAAGGGGCAGATAAACTCGTTTGGCTAGTTGTTTGGCTTGGATTTGGATTGGAGCAAGTGAAGAGTTCAAATTGGCTAAATTCCATTTTCGAGGTACTACTGCAGTTGGATGAGCGCTTGGCCGGCATGCCGTTTATAGAGCATTAGCGATATGTTGACCAGACATGGGGCAGCAAGCCAAAAGAGCCGCGTGCCAATGCCCGTTGCTTCACGATGGAAGATGCCAGCGGCGCCACCTCGACCCGTATTGCAGAAGGACTCCTCGCAACAGGAGGTGCACGCATAGAGCTTAGTGCGCTCCCCAATCACAATGCAACCGGGCTCACAGTTCACAGTGCAGCGACGATCCAACGACCACATCTTGGGCGAGCTCGTTGAGTTCTCAGTGCTCGTAGTGTAGGAGAAGCGTTTGACCTTTCGAAAGAGAGTGAGAGAGAGAAGTGATTAGAGGAGGCCTACTCCTATAACTGATATAGTTCCTACCATGCAGATGAACTCTTCGCCCTGGCATTTCTTCATCATGGACGTGTCATTCCGTTCGAGCACATCCACACAGCCCGGTCCATCGTCCATGGTGTCGCAGGCATAGCACCAGAGCTTGTTCACCCGCTCGATGGCCGCTGCGGTGCGATGTATGTGCCCGCCACTGGTCAGCGAGGTGCTCAGGCTGCCCGCGGAGTTGGGTCCCGATGCGGTCGAGCTGCCAGTGGTGGAAGTGCCAGTCACTACACCAAGCAAATACAGAACTTTATTGATTTCTCCCCGTTGAGGTGTGAAGGTCGCTTCACTTACCGTTGTTGACGCAAGCTGTGAAGACAATGGAGCAATAGGTGAGCACTAAATAGGCGAGCGTGAGAAGCGCTCTGGACATATTGTGGCCGCCAATTGGACCACGATTGGACGCCTGCTCAGCCAGCTGGAAGCTCTATTCTGTAAGAGGCTAAGAAAACTTGTTGTTTATATGCGGAGGCCAAACGACTTCATTTGACAGCGAATGTCAGAGATGCAAGAGCTGTCAAAAGGGAGACATGCGCACTGGCTAGCGAACCATCGGCTAGCAAAGACACAAACCCTGCGGCTGCAGCACAAACCAGTTGAGAATTTTACAGGGGAAGAGGATTCAGTTGGCATGAGAACTACAATTGAAAATAATAAGAAAGCGCTTTGTTTAGTCGATGGACCCAATAAATTACTTCTTCTTATTTATTGGGCTAACATTCAAAATTTGGACAAATCAATAAACAATGAAATCTGTAAAACATTCGGGCCTCAATAGAGACGCAAATATTGCAGGGCCTGGCGACTTTGCATGGGATAGAGCTCGCCTATGTTGTACATGAGATCAACGATGTGCGTGGGACGCAGCATGCGCCAGGGCATAAATTTGAGAGTCTTCTGGTCACAGTGGATATCCTTGTCGACCTCCAGAGGCAGCGGCACCTCGTTGTAGAGCATGCGGCCATCGACACTGCGCTGCAGAGTGCAGGGCAGGCCGATTTGATCGGCAAAGCACTTGAAGAGGATGGCACGCTCGAACTGGCAGCCGCTGTGCACAGCGCCGATCGGTATGAAGTTGGTGTGGTAAGTCAGACGAAGATGCTCCAGATGACAGCGCACCGTGTGGCGGGAGCACTCTTCCGTTGTATTTATATCCAAGATCTTGATGTCCTCGCCCATGACGCTATTCACGGCTTCGGCTATAATCTTGCTGCGCTTGGCCACATTCTCAAAGTCGATGCTGCGTCTGATCTTGTCCGGATTCTCCACAAGGCCATTCAACTAGACGGCGAAATATGGTTAGCTAGGTTTACTTGGGCCTAACATACTCACGGCCAAGGTCTCGTTGAGTGCTTCGAGGTACTCCGGCAGCTTGTCATCGGCTGGCCGCTTGCAATATACCCATTTCTGATCGCCCGCATTGTCGACATCGTGCAGGCAGTAGGTGGGCACACAGACAACGTCCTCCTCAAGTGCGGTCGGTCGGTCGAAATTGACTACCAGCACCGCCTCCAGAGGTGAGCAATCGTGTCGCAAAATGTTTTGAAAGCAACGGAAATCTTCAAACTTACGCTTCGACACATAGAAATCTTTGCCAGCCGTAATGTCCGTAAAGCCCAAATAATTGCGGATGCAGAACTTCATGGTTGGGCACTTGGACAGAATGCTCTCAATGGCCGGACCCCAAGTGGACACACAGAACGCGTGCTTCTGGAAGAGCATCAATCTGTAAGGAAATAACTTCATGAGCTTAAGGACAATTCAGGAGAATCGCTGCAGTTCCTGTTCTACTGGGCATATTGACTGCGCTTTTGTATTCAATTAACTTACACCTCCAGAATTCCTCGATCGATGTAGGCATCGACGAACTCATTGAAACGTGTTGTCTGCAGTATGAAATTGGTCACAGCTGTCTTCACCAGATTGGAGAGGGATTTGAGAGCGCGCTTCATTGAGGAAATTATGTAATTTTCAAGCAGAACCTCTCGAACGGGTTGCTCGTCAATAATAGTGCAAAGGCAGCGAAATATGTTGTGGACCAATATTGAATGAGCATACGAGCGCTGTTAAAAAAGTAGGCAATCGATAGAAAAAGTGTCGATCGATTTTTATCGATAAATATATATATTTGTATATATGTACATAAAAAACTTGATCATCATTTATTCGTATATCGCTATATCTATGTGGAATGCTATTCCACCAAAATTAACGATATATTACTAGACGACTACGAGCATATCGTTAACTTAATGTCGGTGGAAGTATGTGAATCATGAAATGTATATACAAGTAGATAGCAGATATGTATAATATTTACCATAAGTAGCTGGGCAATTTGTTCAGTGAGTGCTGTATTTTCGCCAATAATCGTGCGGTACTCATCATTGTCAGCCAAACTCTCGATAATTGCCAGCAGCGATAGTATAAGATCAATCGATAGCTCTGATAGCCCCTGTTTCAGAGTAATTGTCAAGGATTCCGCGATGTTGAGTTCCATTAACTGCTCAGCTGTAACACGGAAGGAGTTAACCAATAGACTTCCAATCAACTCGGCTGACTGTTCGCGTGTCTTGATGGACACATCAGGTGCACGAAACAGGCTAATGAGCCGGGACAGAGCTCCATTCTCATACTCGGCAACAAAGGCGCGCAATGCCTCCGGATGGGCGATCAGGCGAATGATTCCCATGATAACAAATGGAGCTGGCTCCTGCTTGCTCTTCATCAGGCACTTGATGAACATGTCCGTAATGTTGGCCTTATGGATGCGTGGCAGATATTTTTGATACTTGGCCGCCTCGGCGAATATGGAGATGATAGCGCAGACGACTTCAGGTGGCAGATTGTCCATAATCTCCTTCAGATTCTCCACCATCTGGTCGAAGAGATTCTGCTCAAAGAAGAGCTTAGTCATTTTCTCCGAGCGCAAAGCCGTGGCCAGCACCTCGATGATGCCAAGGGCGTCTGGTGCTTTGGGATCTAGGCAGAAGGCCTTCACCAGCTGCTGGAGCACGAAGAAACAGCGATGAAGCGGCTCGAAGACACTGTCGTCGCTGGTATCGGCCAGCAGCGTCTTCAGCACCTTGATGGCCGCCAAACGGATCTCGAGGAACTCGTTGGTCAGCTCGCAGACAATGCGATCGACCGGGAATCCCGGCAGTGTGGTGAACTCCAGCATCTCCTCGGCGCTCTGAACCTGTAGAATCTTATGCAATGCCTCAATGGAATTGAAAACCGTATCGGGATTATCCGAGCTAATGAATATGTTCTTAAACTTTTCCAGGAACTCAATATTCTCAACTATACTCTGTGCGACCTTCGGATCACGAAGACACAAGTTTACTATATAGGTCAGATATTCTATGCAGAACTCATCGTTCTCCTTTAAATAGAATCTAAACGCCACGTCGAGCAGCGCTGTCGTCTTCTCTGTATCGTATTCCCCCAGTTCCGTGTTGTCCAAGATGGCAGTGATAAGGAATAAGGCAAAGCGTCGCACTATAACACTCTCCGCATCGATAAACAGTTCCTTATCAACTAGGCTCTCCAGCAGTAGTTGTTGCTTTAGCTCCAATATATTTTCATCCTGTTTGCGAGCAAACTCCGACAAATGACTGAGCACAACTTGAAGGACGGGCTCCTCCTTGGAGGCAAGCAACAAGAGGGATGTCTCCAGATTTTTTATAACAACACTCAATGGGTTAAACGAATTTTCCGCGACTTTTCCACGATCGGGATATTTGGAGCGAGCATCGTAAACTCGCTTCGTTTCGTTCGACATTTTTGTTTAACAATAATCATTTAAATTCTCTAAAGATTTGCATATGTTACTGACTGAAAAAGCATTGAAGGACCATTTTTTTAATATTTAAAAAAATTTATTTATAAATTCGTAAGAAATAAGAAAGAATACAAGTCCTTTTTAAAAATTTAATAAAAACGAATTTAAAATAGTCTTATAGCAGTCAGCATTTGTCATGCACCACAGGCAAGGGAAATTAGCTGCATCTCTCATCATATTTACGGCATAAATAACCTTTTACTAGAAAAGAAAACACTGGTATAAAAAAAATAAACTTTTTTCCATTGCATATTTTTTGATTAAATTATAATTAAAAATTTCTTACTAATTAATGAATTGAATTTTGAATTTAACTGACAGCAGTTGTGATCGATGCTGCATTTGCAGCAAGTTGGCATCCCCGCCAATTGAAAAAGATGAAACATATTAACGGCAGCGCGAATGGGGTGGAAAACGGAATGCAAAAGAACGCGACGCTTGTGTTTGTTAGCTGGCGTTTCACAAGAAAAAATAAAGTAAGCTGCGCTGCGTACAATTTGAATTAATTAATAGACAAACTAAATTAAGGGAATAGGCAATCAATTTAAAAAATAAAAATCGGTAAAGTGAGGAGCTGGAAACCCAAACACAATGGTCAAAAAGGTCCGGGCGAATGCGAAGCGCAACAAAAAAACTAAAGAAAAAGAAAACACTGAGGAGCAGGGCAGCCCCGATGCGGTGGCCACTTCGAATACAGCCGCATCCAACGGTAGCAGGAACAACAGCAACACCAGCAACAATACCAGCGAGCAGCGCTATGCAGGCCATGGGCCAATGTATACGATTCTCTCGAACGCACAAAACTCGGAAACATTTCACAAGCGCTACATCAAGGAAATGAAGCAACTGTACTCCAAGGTAGGTTGTAGTGAATGCGGTCTGCTGGGATTGAAGTCTAACTGTAACTGTGTAACTGTGTGCTCTCTTCCAGTTGGATCACGATGCCTTCATGTACACATTCATCCAAATGTTCAAAACGATTCTGGAGGCGGACGATAGCAATGAGTACGGCAATACCGCGCTCGCCTTCTGTGCCAAATTCGTCACCAGCTTTGAGTCGGAGAAAACCCATCCGCTGCTGGCCGAGACCTTTTCGTGGCTGCTCTCGGTGAGTGTCTACTGTACTTTCTTATCGATTACGTTTTGTTTACATTTTGTTTGTTTGCTCTTTTCGTAGACAATTTCGAATAGCCCGCACATACGCTATCGCATCTGTTTCTTTGTGAATCTCATCCTTAAGCATCTCGGCCCGTACGCGGCTCTCGATGACTCGCAATGCGATCAGATTCTGTACTACATGCTGGAAAGGCTGAAGGATATCTCGCCCAGCGTGCGGAAAGAGGCGGTGCTTGCCATGCAGCGTCTCCAGGTGCCCGATCACCCCAACGATCAGGTGCTATGCGCCTATCAGTACCATTTGAGCGCGGATCCCTCGTCCAGTGTGAGGCAGTGCATCATTTCGTGCATGGGTCGCAATTACTTAACAGTGCCGCACATTCTGCAACGCCTGTGGGACGTGGATGAGAAGGTGCGCCGTCATACATACATCAACATGTGCAACTATCCTGTGCGCTCCTACAAGGTGTCTCAGCGTTTGACGCTCCTGGAGCGCGGTCTCAACGACAGCTCCGAGAATGTGCGCAAAAATGTGATCAAGTACATGCTGAAGGCCTGGATCGAGTCATACCAGAATAATTATGTGAATCTAGTTGCTGCTCTCAAGCTGGACTCCACCGAGGAGGAGCTGTTGCGCTTTCGACGTGTGGCTCGTCAAATGCTGTTCGTGATCTTCGAGCAACACAAGGACTATACGGATCTGCTCGCCCAGCTGCCCCTCACCGAGGACTGTGAGCTGCACTGTTGTGTGCCGCGCGAGTCGCTCACCGTCGAGCTTGTCCTCTACTGGCAATGCCTTAGCGCCTACTTGCAACAGATCCAAGCTGACGAGTTCGAGCAGGTGCTCCCAGAACTAAGCATCTTTTGTGACTATGTTAAGCAGTGAGTGGCATACATATATGCTGGGTGTGGCATCAACTAACCCTTGCTCTCTTTAGATTCTGTCAATTCCAGAAGCCAGATATGGACAAATTCGCTCAGATCGAATTTCAGACTATGCTCCTCTCGTTAGTGGAAATGCTGGAGACCTACGATCTGGGCGATGAAATCGGACGTGACAATCTGAAGGAGCTAATATCGCATCTGCTGAGGGAATGCCGGCTGGATCCGAAAATCGTGGCCGTGCTCGTGCGCTGCATGGAGCGATTGGAGACCGATGTGGCCGCACGTATGCAATATTTTCTGACTATCATCTATGACATATGCGAGCTGAATACCAAGCAAAACGATCTAGTGCACGATCGGGAACTGACGGATATGTTGCTTGAGAATGTGGAGACATCGTTGGTCATGAAGATCAGATCGCTGAAAGTGCGAATTCTCGATCTCGAGGAGATGGAGGATAACTTTGCCATGCAAAAGGAATATATGCGTGCCCAAGCGATCAACAACGAGCGAATGATCCTGACTGATGAGTATAGGGATTTGATACAGCCGCTACTCGAAAAACATGGGCAGCTGCAGCTGCCCACACGGCCCAAGCTGTCGAAGCAGGAGCGTGTACTCAAGGGATTATACATATCCTTTTACATGGTCGCTTCTGAGCATGTGCACAGCCTGAATCCCAGCCTGTGCAAGCTTTACAAGGTAATGCAGGTCTTACACGATTTTTGGCCAAATATTTGAATTCTAATTCCCATTGCAATTGTAGGACTTCATTTGCCGCCACTTGCCTTCAACGGAGCAGGATATCTTCGAGTGGTCCATGAAGTGCGGCACCACGTTCAGTCTCCTGTATGAAGCGTACACCAAGGAGGTGTTCGATGTGCTTGTCGAAGAGTTCTACAAGAACAACAATTTGCGCCTTTGCGAAATATCCGCACAGTGCGTTTGTGAGCAAATGGATCACTACGGCGTCGACTTCTTTATGGATATGGGTCAATCCGTCGTGGGTCCCAAAACGAAGCGGCGGCTGTTGTTCACCAGGCAGGACTTTGACGGCGAGGAGGACATAAGTCAATCGCAAAGCGGCGATCAAAATGCGGACATCATTAGCATGATGGGCTTCTTTGTCGAGAAGGTTGTGGACAAGAACATCCTGCTGGCCATTGTGCGCGGCTTGTGTCGCCTGGTGCTGCGTGGTCAGCTGGACAATCGCCCTGAAGTGTTAGAGAAGCTGCTCAAGCGCTACTTTAATCCCAACACGGGTAAATGCCACAGATTTTACAAAGATGATATTTCGTAACTCATTCTATATTCTGTTGTTTTATAGAGCCCATAATCAACCAGGTGCTTGGCATGTTCTTTGAGAATATTGTGGAGCAAAAGCTGCAGCATTTACTGGAGCCTTGCCTGCTGCCGATCGTGTGGTCTGTGATGAGCTGCAGCAACGATTCGCTGAACGATGTGTTGCCGGATCATGTAACCAAGTTCTTCATCGATCTCACAACGCAGGTCTCGAGCACGCCCCAGAGCAATATACACAATCGCATCGCGCTCAGCTTTCTGCACTACGTTCACAACTTCTACACGGAGCGCAAAGAGATGTGTCGCCTGCTGACCAAAGAGCTGACCACGCTCAAGCTGAATGTGCTCAACAACTCACAGTTGAAGGACGAAATGCAGGAGCTGGCTGACAAGTTGGTCAAAGTAAGTGAATTTAAATATTGTGCCTTAGCTCTTGACTGACTCAAATTTGTTTTGCAGAGTGATCTGGAGCCACGCATGATTAAGAACATTGAGGACTTTAAAAATATGCTAAATGGCAGCTTCAAGCCGCCTGCCCGCAAGACCGATGGCAATGACAGCGAGGCAGACGCCGAGGAGTGTGAGAGTATCACGGCCACCACAGTATCCACATCCGACGGCCCTGCTCAAGAGCCTGCCGCGCCAGTTGTTGCCGAGAGCGAAGTACCTGCACCAGTAGATAAAACTACAACAGAAACTGAAGCAGTCACGGAACCAGCAGCAACCGAGGCAGCGCCTGCGCCGACTGCGGCTGCGCCGGCAGAACCTGTGCTAACTACTTTCGGGGCCAACAATGAGGTTGGCTTACGCTTCTTGCGGCGTTCGCTATACAACTCGGATAGCGAAAGCATAGGCGAATCAAAAGCGCCAACACCAACGCCAACAGCAGCGGCTGAGGCAGAGGCGAAGGCGTTAGAGAAGCAGAAACAGCAGCAGGAGGTCACAGAAATCAGTCGTCGTAATCTGCGCAGGGATAAAACCAAGCAGCAACTGGAGCGGGCAATAGCGCGTGCCTCAAAGACGCCCGAAAAGGAGCCTGAGCCAGAAAAAGTCGTAGCTCCAATAATGGACGAAGAGAATGAGTATGTGGACGTAGAATCTCAAGGCGAAGACGAAATTGTAGAAGTTGCTAGTCCTGTTCAAAGCCAGTCGGTAAGAGTCTATCAAATTGCAGACTTTTAAGCTAAGCAGTAACATTTACCTTTCTACTCTATGCAGCACAATGAATCGGAAGTAATCGTGGATTCGCCCACAACCGCATCGCCAGATGCAAGCAGAGCGGTAAATGCGAGTCACCTGCGTCTGCGCTCGATGCGCAATCGAAACGCGAATGGCAACGCGCGCAATACGCCAACGGGCAGCAAAGTGAGTACCGCGCGCTTGCGCTTGCAGCTCTAGGCAGTGCGACAGTCCCAGTCCCAATCCTCGGGCCAGAGCCAGATCAAGAGTAGCAGTAGCAGATCGTGCAGAGAGCAAACAGCAAAAACGAATCGTAATTCTTTTTAGTTTAAAACGTAGCCTGTAACAAATTTTGATAATCCAGGATGAATCCTGAACATTGTTTAATTTAAGCACAAATGATAAACGATATGCACTTAGCATTGACTGAAAACAAAAAAGATGAATTTAAAAGACACGTTTTCAAACACTCAACAAAACAAAAATAAAACGTTGTTTTCTTTACGCCCCGGTCTAGTAATACAAGCTGTGTATGTGTATAAAGTTGTATGTTATTTAGTTAGTGCTAGCGAGTTATCCTATTTAAATTAGCTTTCCGTTTGCTTTTCTGTTTAACTTATCTCGTTTTTCTGTTTCTTTTGTGATCCTGCAGCGCAAAGTGCTTCATCTCGATATACAAACGCCGTTGCGCAATGGACGCAAACGTGTCCTGCGCAAATCGCTGATTGCAACGCCGACTGCGACGCTGGCTTCATCTTCGCCATCCACCGATTCGGGGAAATCCTCTAAGCGCATTTCGCCACTCCGCAAGCAGCAACGACTCGACGCCAAAGCGACGCCCCGGAGACGCAGCAGCGTGTCAATGGCAACTCCAGCGGAACGGGCGATACCAGCATCAAAGAGCACAGCGAGTCCCACGGACAGCAGCTGTTCCTCCATCAAGGAAAACACGGCACCTACATCATCTGTACCTGCATCTGTATCTGTATCCGTATCCGCATCAGCAACAGCGCCAGCACCAAAGTCCAATCACAAGACGCCGCAGCCTAGCAGGAGGCGTTCCGCATCCCATCTGAACAGCAGCACGCCCGTGAACAGGATATTAACACGTCACTCGGCGCGCAAGCTGCGTATGAATAACATGTGCATGACCCGTAAACGGTTATCTCAAGAACTGAGCATGACCGAAGGACATCTTAAGGTGTCCACACCCAAGCGCGTGCGCCAGGACAAAGCAACGCACAAAAAAAACAAATCCAGCGAACGTGCCACAGCACACACAAGCAGTTCAAAGAGCTCCACGCCGCGCACCAGGGCGAATGCCCCAGAAGCTCCCATAGCAACCCGCACCCGTCACAAATAGTCTCCATTCCTCTGACCCCCACCCCTTCTTTCTGTGTAATGTATTCGATTAAGATATATTTAAATATTATGTCTGTTTTAAATGTTCATTAACCCTGTAAGTTTCATGTATAATACGTGTCATGTTTCAATATACTTATTTAAAACAAATGTGAGCCCTGCGAGATCTAGTTTTGTCTATCTGATTAGGGATGTGCTTCAATAAGAATGTATTACAAGAATAGCCCCATATTCAGGAGGGATATTGCTCCTAATTTCGCCATATCCTTAAGGATATTTATGAGGTACCCTTTTTCCAACTCATGGAGATTGGAATTATCGATTGGCATCAAGGAATTACCAAATTCATCCAAAAGTTTTGTCTATAAATTTTTCAAGGGGTATAGTCAAAAAAGTGACAAAAATGTCAAAAATGGAATGTAATTTGGCCATTTGAAGGACTTTTGGGATGTCCTTTCAACCATATGGTGTCCTTACGGCTCAGATTATGAATTGACAACAATATGGATAAAAGTCCTTCAGGAAGCTAAGATAATAACTATCCTTTTTTCAATGAAAAATAAGCATAGCTCGGCCGTATCCTTGGGTATGCCGACGATTAAGATGCCAAACTCCTTGGGGTCACTTGGGCTAACAACTGACTAAGTGGCATCAAAATCGTCCTGGTAGTTATGGAATTATTACGTATTTTGTGAATTTTGGCCAGTTTTCTAGGCCGCAAGAGCCAGCTGAATAGAGAAGTCCTTGATCCTTAGATGACCCCATAATGTTTTGATGGCGCTTCATAGTAGGGCTTTTCATGATCCTAACGCGCCAAGTTTTTTCATCCTGCGCCAGGATTTGACCGAGTTATAGATAAAAAACTTAAATGTTTGTTACCCAAAAACCAAAATTCGTTGCATACTCTAAAGGGCAACCCTTTTGAAATTTCAACGAAAATTCAGCTGAAATACCAGGCGAACAGAAATCTACAGCAAGCAACCAAGTTTAAGCGAACAAAAATATTCGTTGCATACCCTCCAGGGGCGAAATGGACCGTTGAGTTCAAAAGAGCATTTGAACTTTTATTTTACCCGCCATGAAATAAACACACGTTATTTTTGAAATTTTAAAGTATTTTTCGTTTATTTTGAGCTTATTTCATACATTTTTAGGCACTATATGCTTATTTTCTTAGCGCTAACTGGCGTTGCGGCTGCAGCCGTACTGGTGCCTTTAGCTGTTGCCTCATCTGTTGCATAAATGTGATGAGTATGCTGCAGCCCAGTTCCGGCTATCCTTTGTATCCTGGCCAGACATGCGATTATTGTTGGATGTATCCAGATAGTGCTAATTGATCCTTTTTGATCTGTGTTGATTGAAAAGCTGGCTATAGGGATTAACATAGTACAATTAAGAACTAGATACATTGCATTATTAGATAAGTACATGCTGAGATACGTTCATACAGTAGGAAAGGAGTATGAAATACAATAGAAACATATTTTGAGCAGTGATTGAGTTTGAGTTAAGGATGTCCTACATACTATAGTATTAAATAATAGAGGAAAGTGAACTTGAAATGGTGAAAGTTATAAACATAGACAAGAAGGCCACAAATGATGTTGTTCCCAACAGGCACATGGTATATATCATATATATGTTTATATAGGAGGTCTATGTATCAATTTGCGCATTCTTCAGAGCTTAACTCCCTTCAGCTTCACGGCTGTTGTGTGCAAATCCCATTCCTGCTGCTGTAGTGCCTCGAATGCAGCGGATAGACTAAGATTCGCCTCAGCAAGTATATTCTGCAGCTTAATCAATTTAATGGATTTGTGAACATCCCAATTGATGAACTCCAGGGCGGCTAGGCAGCGTGTGGGTGTGCTCTGTGTGAAATATATAAGCATTAGTTGGGGAAATTACTAATAAATATTGCATTGAACTTACGTCTTTGCCCAGTACTTTGACCATGATGCGTACTTCATCTGAGTCGACGCCTCGCTCACAGCCACGTGGCTTCTTGTCGGAGAACTCCAGCAAATCCTCACAGCTCACGGAATTCGAGTCGGCCAAACGTGCCGCAGTAGCTGCAAAGTATTCCGCCTCCGTTTGTGGCTTCAATGCGGGCGTTGAGTTGTTGCTCGCCACTTCGTTGCCATTGATGGAGTTGCGATTCATTGCCTGGTTGACGGAAGCCCGCACCTTTTTAAAGAGTGCATTTCCCGCGAGCTCATTGTCGGCACTAGCGAAACGCCGCGTGCTTATGCTCTCCAAAGGCTCCTCAGCTGCTGTCGCTGCTGTTGTTGAAGAAGCCGCTGCTGCTGCTGCCGCGGCTACAGCGGCTGCTGCTGAGGCTGCAGTTGGTGCCATCTCCTGCGGCACTGCTGCCGAGTCCAAGTTGGAGGAGCTGTTGCTGGTTGCCAGCGGTTTGTCCAGGTTGCGCAGCTCATCGTCGTTCACATAAAGTCCCGTGGCTTGGGCGGGCTCGAAGCCGACATCTTTGCTCTTGTTGTAGTGCTCCTTCTGTATGGAGAAGTTGTAGAAGCCATCGGTCACGTCCGGCGACTGCAACACCATGCCCTCCTTGCTCATGTCTCCCTCCAATATGGACTCGAACTGCAGCGAGGCGCTGTCCGTCAGCCCAGCCGCGTCGGCAGGCGCCTGTTTCTCCAGCTTATCGAGATTCTGGTAGGTATGGGCCGCAGATGCTTCGCCTGCTATGGCTGGCATATTCTCGTACTCCCGGGCATCGGGTCGGCGACGGACGCTGCTCGAGCGCACCGCAGCCACCACCTCAATGGAGCGAGTCTGCTGCTGGTGCTGCTGTTGCTGCTGAAGCGTCTGTTGCTGCGGCTGTGGCGATGCATCGCCAAAGTCCGCCACCTTGCTGAGCGTGCGCTGCACGCCATTCGCTGGGATGATGAGCGGATACTTGCGCACGTGTCGCTTGGCGCTGGTCTTCACCTGCTTCTTGCCCTCGCGCGATGGCAACGGCAATACATTCGTCTCCTGAGGCTCCGGAAACTTGTAGCTGGGGTGTGTCATATAGCTGGGACTCTCGCACGGCTCATTGCGATTCTCATCGCTCTGCCGCTCCACGACGTTCGCCTGCTCGGCACGACGCACTCGCTGCGCCGCACCTCGCGTTGGCAGGGTCATAGGTCGCGGTGGCTGCAAGCGCTGCAAAGGACGTGCGCAGTCCGCAGCCGCACTCGAAGGCTCCGCGGCAGGGGCAGCTGGAGAAGCAGCTGCAGCTGCCGCAGTACCTGGATAACTCAGCTGGCTGCCCAGGCGACGTGGCAGCGTCTTGGAATTCATCAGCTCGAACTCATCTGTGTCCATGTGACGCAGCAGCGTGGCAGCCGGACTGGAGCCAATGTCCAGCATGCCCTTGCGCTCGATCAGGCTGTTGTACGCCTCGCGGCCCTCCTCGCCAATGAGCGACTGTGAAGAGTCAAACGGGGAACAGAGGAGAAAAGAAAAGAAATTTGTTTAAAAAATAAATAAAAATAAAAACCAATAAAGAACACAAAAGAGCTTAATGCAAATTCTAAACGAAACAAATTTAAATATATAATTTATACATAAATATTAATCGGGTATTTCCAGAGATCTATGCAGAAATTCATTTTGTCTTTTGCTTTATTAAATCCCTTTAAATATACACAACTTTTTTTGATTACCAATTGGATTTCTGTTTGGTTCTTAGAATGCAAACTTTAAATAATTTTGTTTTTCTCTCTTCTTGAATTTTGTTTTCTTTTTAAATATGTATATATAATACTTGGAAAAAGTTTTCTTATTAGATTTTAGATTTTAGTTTAAGTTTAAGTTTAGGTTTAGGTTTTTTCATTTGGGCTTTGAAACGCTTCGAACGCATGCTTTAGAATATCATTTTTTGGTAGTTTAATATAATTTAGATCTTCTTTTAGATATGAATATATAATATATATATATATATATATATGAATTTGTAATTATATATGTAAGTATGTATATAAACTTTGTATATAAGTAATTGTTTGTTTTTCCTCTTCTGCTTCGTATTTCGGTTATTCTTTATCAATAAATGCACAGAATGCGACAATCGTTTAATTCGAATACATTATTCAAGTTCGTACTGCTCGTGGTAGAGCTCTAACATATTAAAAAAATTGTTTTGTTTGAATATCTCTGATTATGCGAAAGTAGCAGATATACCCCTCTTTCTCTCTCGCAGGGTATTCGCGAATTTCATATATAGTAGGTATGCATGTATGTATATCAATTATAATATAGTATAGTATAGTAAAAATGCAAGCGTAAGGATATGGCACATAATACACATTCGCATATGTACGAGTTTTTTTTTTTCGTTTTTTATCGGACAATATAAATTTAGTTTTCTTTTTTTTATGGTAGAAATTTTTTTAAATTTTTTTTTTTTTTTTTGGGAATGTTGTTCTTAATGAAGGATTGTCAACGGTTGAGTTTGCGTCTGTGTGTGTGTGTGTGTTTGATGACTGTTGTAGTTGCTGTTGTTGCCGTGTGTTTTTGTTGTTCATTTTTATACCCTGTCATTTAGATATGTGAGGTGTTTGCTCAGTGTCCCGTGTATGATGAAATGCTAATACTGATCCACTTTCTCTCTCATTCAATTTTTCCTAAGTTCTCGTCATTTTCCTCTTCTGCTTGCAACGATTCTGACAACCAAGCTCTGTTTTGTGGATGATAATTAATAGTGATATCTGAGATCTGTAGGAAATTGTGTTTGTATTCGATTTCTATATCTATTTGTTGCCAGCGCCTCGTTCAAGCACAATTTCGTCTGAATGGAGCTGAGTAGCCTTTACCTGGAAGCCTTCTGTTGAGTTGAGTTGAGTTTTAATGCTAAATTGTAATCGAGTCTTTGTTTTTTTTTTTTACAATTTCCAAATTTATAATTGTTTATCCTTGCAAGTCTATACCTTATCGGACTACTAAAATAACACTTTCGGAATCAGTTAACAATCTTTTCTACATTAAATATTTATCAAATGCTTGCAAGGCTATTGCAACTTCGAGCAGTCGAAGCTTTCTCTCTGATTTTCTAATATTCTTTAATCGTTATCCTTTGTATTAATATATATATTGCAACGAGTTAATATTGCTTTAGTTATTATTGAGCTGTTTTAGTTGAATTACTTCGGAATGGGGCGGCAGGGACTTCCCCCTGAACTTGACTTGCGTATTGCTTATGCTTTAGATCTCAATTGAATTGAAATGTATCTGAATCTGTAACTGTAAAATGCGTCTGCATCTGTCTAACTGTAACTGTAACTGTAACGGCAAATTACGTTTATTATTATCATCCGTTCTGAGAGGTCTTCCGTGTTTCCGAATAAGGCACGCTCTCAAATATTCAAATCCAAAATATATATATACATATATCGATATAATATATATATAGGTTATGTAAACACTAATAAATATTCGCTGTAAATATTTCTACAATTTACTCTTCCGACACAAACCACCCACCCACCCACACGCACACACCTTGCGACACACACCACACTACAACACACACTTCAGCACACACAGACACACTCAGAGTGTGGGGGCGTGGCGACGCCCTAATCCGACAGCACATGCCCGAATAGTAAATTGAGAACATATTTCAGCATTTTCCTTAGTTATGGAGCCGGACTTGGCGGAATCCGTGGCGCAACGAATTCCCGCCGGAATTGAAACTCATCTCCGCTCTCCGTGCTGGACGAGGAGCTGCTGTCACTCGAGTCACGCGCCGTTGTCACCAGCGGCAACTGCTGAGGCTGTAGTTGCTGCTGCTTGAGCTGGCGCCAATGCATCTCATGCTGCTGCACCGCCGAGGCATGGATCTTCTCGGGCCAATGGAACTCCGTGGGTCGCTGCGGCTTCACTGGCAGCTGCGTCAGGCTCTGCACCTGGTTCTCCCGCTGTTGCTTTAGCTCGTCCGGCGAACTTCCCACATAATTGGTCGACGTGGGACTCTTGCCCGTGAGCCGACTAATGTCGAACTCGTGCAGCGTCACCCCGCTCATGGGGCGCGGCTGCACGGCAGATGCAGACGTGGCAGTGCGATAGGTGGCCACGGCAGACGAGGCCGCCGAGGAGGAGCCCGAGCCGGAACTGAGCTTCTGCGATTGGGTGGCTGTCAGCAGCGTATGCTGTGCCATTTGCGTGGTGTAATTGTTGCCCGGTCCGCGTCCACCAAAGTCGTAGATGCGCTCGTCATAGTGGAACTGCTCGTAGCCAGTGCCCGGCCGATGGAAGCTGCGTCGGTTGCCGCCCAGGTTGTAGTGCGGCGCTGACTTGATGCTGGAGTTGGAGCCATACAGCTGGCGTGGCGATATGATGGTCTCTCGCTCATCCTGGCAGGCGGACTGCACCTGCCGATTCAAACCCGCCCGACGCCGACGATACAAAGAACTGCTGGAGCTGCCAGCTACGCGTGCGCGTATATCACACTCGGAGCGCGCCAAGCTTGGCTTCGTTGGCTCCTCGTCGCCGCTGGACGAGCTGCTGGAGTCGAGCGTCATTGGATTGTAGCTGAGGCGGCGCAAGGTGCGCGCGCGTATCGAACGCGGCTTATAGGAGGCAGAGCGTCTGGGCAGTGACACCTGCTGATGTTGCTGTTGCAGTTGCAGTTGCAGCTGCTGCTGCTGCTGTGACAGGTGATGCGCGAGCTGCTGCTGCTGATGCAGTGACTCCTGTCTGAACTGCCGATGCTTGGCGTCCGACAGCACCGGCGAAATGGGCTGGAAGCTCTCGTTAAAGGAAGTGGAACGCTGGCGATGACTCTTCGCAGCCCCCGCATACACCGAGCTGCTGCTGGCATTCAGGCAAGACTTGACGGGCGAGGCGCTGGCCAGCATCTGCTTAGTGTGGCCATTGCCAAAGCGCTCGTAGCCACTGCTCATGACAATGGGCGGTGCACTGTACAGGGCGTCGCTCTTCATGGGAAAGTAGCTCTCCTGCGGGCTGTAGCTGCTCTTCTGGCTGCTGCGGCGCGACAACGAGATGTTCGTATCCCGCGACGCGAAGCCCGTGTCTGGGGTGCTGCTGCGCTTGTCCTCGATCAGCTTTTGCTGCTCCGGCTGCTGGCTGTGCAGCTGCGCCTGATTGTGCATGTACTGCAGATGCTTGTCCAGATGGCTGGTGGCTGCATTGAAATCAAACATCGTTTGCACCCCGTTGCTGTAGCTGTAGACAGCGGACTTCAGGCTGCCCGTGGCACTGCTGATGCCATCATCAAGGGAGCCCACCAGCTGCGGCAGCTGATCATTCAAAATGGTGTCGTTCGAGTCGCTCTTGTCCAGCTCCGTGTAAGTGTGCATAAAATCCAGATTGAGCGCCTTTAAAGTATTCTCAATGTCCATAATATTATCATTGATGCTCTTGGGCTCGCGCTCTCTGGACTCCTCGCTGTTCAGGTCTCGGTTCAGCGGGCGGCTGAGTATCTCGCGAGATTTCTCAAAGAGAAAGTCAGAGCTCTCCTTGTCAAAGATGGGTATGCGCAGGTCGGAGCTGTTCTTGATCTCGCTTAGCGAACGAAAGCGCTGCTTGATGTGTGAGGGGAAAACGAACGAAAGGCAAAGAAAAACGAACAAATTGGACAACCAAAACAAAGCAAAGGGAATGAACGGGGCGCGCCGACGCGAATGATGAAGAAAGAGAGAGCAGAGTGTAGACAAGAAAGAGACCTCCAGATTAGCAAACATAACATAATCACATCAATATCCAGACTAGCTCTACATAAACTTAACGCAAGACTCTGCCTTTTATCCTTTATGCTATTAAATCTCACCTGAATATCGGGTATGCTCTGCAGCTCCTCCGTGAAGTTTTTCTTCTTGGAGAACGGCGAGGCATTTCCATGGGTGGGCGTATGTGCAGAGCTGCCTGCAGCACCACCCAAAGCCCCACCTGACTTGTCCCCGCCGCTGCCACTGCCGCTACTCAAATGCGGAAAACGAAAACTAAATTTGCGCTTCGGACTGTGCGTGGCTAGCGTATGATCAGAGACCAAATCAATCATAGATCTGCGCAAGAGAAAAACAAAAATGAGTCCATCTGTATGATAAATATAAGTTAGGTATATCGCACCTGGCACTAATCTCATTGGCTATTTCAATGGCATGGTTCAATATTTTCTCATCCTTGACCGAAATGGGCTTTACAGTGCCCGTGGATGCCTTCTTCTTGGACAACGTGGGCAGCAATCCATGACCATGCTTATTGCCATTGCTGTCGCCACTTTTGTGGTTAAGCTTTGCAGACATCTCAGCGAATTCGTTCTTTGTGTTCACATGATCAAAGTCGGGCGACTTTGGCTGGCTGCCAGAGGCGCCGCTGATTGAGCCAAACATCGAGTTGATCTCATCCAACAGCGAGGGACCAAAGTCCAGCTTGTCGCCAGCGATCTCATCGTCGGATATTTCGTGATATTCGTGTGGATCGTCAGTCGTATTGCGTGAACTGGCCCGCCAATTGGGTTCCGAGTGGATGCTCTTGCCATCGGCCCCGTAATTATTGTTTTGCAGCGCATAAGCAAGCTGCTCCTCATCCAAAGTGTGTGAGGCAAAGGGATTTGTGGAGCCAGCAAAGTCAAATGAGCTATGTCCATTGCTAGGTATCAGTTTGGGCGTGTGCTCCGTGGAGGGAATAAACGTGGGATTCATGGAGGTGCCGGCGCCCTCTGGGAAATATCCGCTGGCCGTTTGCAGCGAGTCGGGGCTGGTGGGCGTCGGAGGCAGTAGCAGTGGTGTCTGTTCAATGTCCTCCGACGGCTTGTACGGCGTCACAATCTGTTTGGGCACATGATTGTACTGTAGGTAGAAATAGAAACAAGTGAGCATATATAGCCAAAGGAATCACAATTGGATTGGGCTTACATTTTGAGAGCTGCCGAGGAAGGCAATGTCACCAAAAGTGGCGCCATCAATGCCAACATGCCCGGTGTGCTTAAAATCATTCTGCGGTTTCGAAATCATTTCCGTACGCAATTTACGCTTGCTAATGCGATGGTCGCCGACACGACTAAAGGAGTCGCGATTGGAAGAGCAGGGCAAGCCCTCCAAAAAGGCGACAGTATTCGAGGGATTAAAGAAACCTGTCTTGCCGGTGCTCAAAACGCCTTTCCAGAAGGGCGTGCCAGTGTTACGATCAAGCACAGTTATGATATCGCCCTGGCGATACAACAAATGATCCTTCTTCGGCTCCACACAGTTGACAACGGCCTTCAGTTGTTCAGGCTTCATGTCAGGCAGTTGCTCGTAGATTTCGCTAAACTTTGGCCGCTTTAGGGCATCGTCCTGCCAGCACTTCATCATCAAAGTGTAATACTCGCGTGGACAGCAGTCAGGCTGCTCCAGGCGCTGAAAATTGGGCGAATCTATTGCTTCCAGTATCTGTAAACCAGTCAGTGCCGCCCATGGCTGGAAGCCATATGAGAACATCTCCCAAAGGCAAACGCCATAGGCCCAAACATCGGAGGCGTTGGTGAAGCGCAAGTAATTGATGCATTCTGGTGCACACCAGGCAATCGGCAGCTTGAGATTCACATTGAAGTTTGTCTTGTAGTAGTCCTTGCCCACACCCAGGGCCCGCGATAGCCCAAAGTCTGAGATCTTCACCTTGTCCTTGCTGAAGACCAATATATTCCGGGCAGCCAAATCTCTATGTATCAGTCGCTTTTGCTCCAGATAGCGCATACCATTACAGATCTGCAGCGCAAACTCACAGAGCGTGGGTATTGTGAGAAAGCTGACGCGCAAACCGGAATCCTTAAGGCACTCGAGTAAGGAACGTAGATGGGCCAGCTCTGTGACGAGCATCAGGGAATCCGTGGCCAGCACCACTCCATACAAGCGCACAATGTTCTCGTGCTCAATTGAATGCATTATGGCTGCCTCCTTGAGAAACTCCATGGGATTCGATTGCATGCGCTCGCGGCACAAGCACTTGATGGCCACTTGAATCTGTGCAGCAATCAGCAGACAAAATTAATTACTCAATTCAGCCGGAAGCCCTTGAGAGGGAGGGGGCTCAGATATCGTACTCACCCGCTCGCTGCCATTCGTCCAAACGCCCTGCTGCACAATGCCAAACTCCCCAATGCCCAGCTGCTTATTAACGCTAATCGAATCAGCCGGTATGATGTGCTTATTGTTGGGTGCCTTGCTGCCCGGCGAGCTGCTACCGCCATTGCGGGTCGCTGTGTTGGTCGTCCCTGCAGCGGCGCCGTTCTCATTTGTTGCCTGCCCACCAGCCCCAGCCCCATCTTCGCGCTTCACAATTGTGGCGGGCGCTTGTAGCAGGCGCTTGATTTTGCTGAGGTAGCTGTGGGGGAAATGCTTTTCATAGAACTTGCGCAGTCTTCGTATTTCCGGCCTCGACAGGCCAATGAAACGTAAATCCTCATCCGCTGCATATTTAAATTGGGCTGCATTTGTTATTTTTAGTTCGTTTCTGTGTGCAGAAAAAAGAAACAAATAAATAACCAAGCGGCGTTTTTAAATGAGTCACGTGTTTGTCAAAGCTCAGCTCAATATGCAGATCACGCAAATGCTCTTTTGTTCTCTTGCTGCTTCTCGCAACGGTGTCAAAATACTCATATCGATACATATATTGTGCGTATTGGTATTAAATTATGGTAATAAAGGTATTAAAAAATACTAATAACTCTACTGCACTTGATGACTCTCTTAGCTGGTATGGGGGAAATTTAAATTTTGCTCGCATTTGCTTGTGATCAGCATACCTTGCTGGAGCATAGGGTATCTATTTGGGTCACACAACTCACTTGATGGCATTGTAGTATTGCTGCAGTTCGGACTCGGTGAGGAATTCATATAAATCAATTTGTGGGCACTCTGGAGAAGATACATATAAATGTAAAAATAAATACGTTTTTATAAATGCATATTTAACTTAAGTATGCATGCGATGTAGCCGATAAACCAACAACAGCTGCGCTCCATAATATTGACTCTGTCTGTTTCTGTTTCTATGCATGTGTGTGCGTTATATAGAGTGGTGCGTGTGCATGTGGGTGGTATGGATTTCTTTTACACCCACTAGCAAAGACACCAACACATTTGTTTGACTTTCATGACAGCGGCGCCCTCATGTGGCAGCCTTAAAATATTTGTATTCTTTCATTTCAATATCTTTATCTTTCGGTCCCACCTCGTATACACACACACATATATAAATATATATACATATATACACAAGCACTGACACAAAAATTCTGATTGCCGTTGTTGTCGCTGGCCTCAACCCGCAGCATTTGTCTCTTTTTTTTCTGTCGTGTTTTTGTTTGCCTTTGTAAAGGAAGCAACGCGCAACACATGTATATACACACATATTTGTACATATGTACATCTGTTTGTGTTTTGTGTGTACACAGATTGACTGATAATGTCGGTTAAAAACTTCTGGATTTGCAATTTGAGTCATCAGTGCGGCATTCGACATTCATTGAGATAATAAATTCCATGGAAACTGTCCACATCCGCTTGACTGTTTGCTATTGCTAATGCAGTTTCTGTAAGATGACGCATTTATATGTCGCAAATGTTGCTTTTACGGGCGACCATTTACTTCTTTTACAACTAAACCGACAAGCTATCCCGCAGGATTTCCAGTTGTCCTTGAATTTGCAAAATAAAATCGATCGGTCAATACACACGCGTACACATACAATTACACCGCACTCACATACATACGGAAGCACGGAAGCTACAACTACGTAGCAGACACAGTTTTTTCCTGCATAGAAAACACTTGCATTTTCGTTATATACAGTCACTTTTTACTATCCTGTTATCCCTTCAGGGTTCGTTTACACTATCAGCAAAGTTTTTAATATACATTTGCACTTTTTAACTCAATCTTACCCATTTTATTTTTGCGTGTGCATTGTTTGGGAGTACTGCATCTTCAACAGTGTGAACTTAAGAGTTTTAGCAGAAAATGCCTCTTTGTAATAATGGAAAAATACTAACTTTTACAATCCGCGTTTATGGTCACACTTTTCTGTGCCATTATGAGTTTTACATGTAAACAAACATTTAACAGTTTTACAGAAAACAGCTGTGCGCTCGCATTCAAATCAAAATATAAACCACTAGCTTACATTAAGCAATCCATTTTGCTAAATTTTTCAGATAAAAAAACATTTGCTTTTTACATTGGAAGTATACGGAATTCATTTACATTATATATTTGCTTGATTATCTCACGGCTTGCAATACAAATAAAACAGTGAGGAGATTAAAAATGTGCATTCTATAAGATACTTTAGCTAATTGCTTTAAAACTTGCATCGAACATTTCTTAGAACAAACGGAAGCTGCCCGGGAAGTAGCTGATAGCCATGCGATCGATGAGGGGCTTTGTATGCTCGTATCCCATCGCAAAATTGATTGCAGCCATCTCATCGTAGAGTTCCCGTACGCGTTTGTCCTCAATCATCTTTGTCACGTACTTGTACATGCGTCCATAGTGATTGTGCGCAAAAGCATGCCAAATGGAGAATTGGATTGCCTTGCTATCGTTGGCGTCGATAAACTTGATAATCTCGGTGTAGACGTCATTCAACTCAGCCAAATGATCCTTCACATTATCATCGAGCACATAGACCTTGGCGAGGGCGATACCCTTCTTGACCAATGCTTCAATCAGATTATTCTTCTGCTTATCCATATTTCTACAATAAGATATTTTATATTAATTGAAAGCTCGGGATTTTCTTTCATTGACTTACGTCTTGATCTTAGCTGCATCTGAACGGGTGTCGTTCTTAATACCATAGTAAGAAAGCAGGGCATCGGCATCAGTTTCATTGATTACAATGTCAGCCAGCTTGACAATGCGCTCCAAGGCCGACCGCTGCTTCTGCAAATCCTCCTTCGGCTTATCCGCATTGGCATTATCGCCCTCTTTGCTTCTGTTCTGTTGGGCAGCGACAAATGCGAACGGCAATAGGCTCTTCAATTCGCTCGACTCGATGTTTTGAATTAACTGCAGATGGGCCGGCAAGTGCTTGGGATGTGCGGCAATAACATCGTTGTAAATCTTCTCAGCCTTTTCCAGATCTAAAGAAACCATACAATGCATTGTAGGATGCCATAATGCTCTTAAAAAAGTGACACTCAAACTTACCACACTTGGCAATGTGCGAGCATTGGAAATCTCGCAGGCTCTCAGCATAATCATCGGCGCCAGCTTTGCCCTTTTGTGGCGAACTGGGCGTACCACTGCAACCATTGGCGGGACCATCAGTTTGGCTTGTGACTCCATCGCCACCAGCTGAATTTGCAGCGCTGGCTTCCTCCTGGATGGTGGAAGCTGGCTTCGGCTTGACTCCATTTGTTGAAGCAGCTGCCGCTGCTGGATTGGCATTGCTGGCAGCAGCTCCATTGGCGGCGCCATTTGAGGAAGATTTCTTCTCAGCCGGATTGAGTATGTATGTGAACGAATGGAGGTCAACGCGACGGCCGCCTTCATCCTTGGGGAGGATTAGATTGCCGCTTAACCAGGCGCACGGCGACGGTAAATTGGCCTTGTTCAGCTTTTCCTGACTAATGGGTGCAACGTAGATGACTTTGCTGGTGTCTCTCACCTTTGTGGACGATATTTTACGGCCACCGACAATGCCCTGGTTGTAGCTATCGTAAAAATCTAGAGAGATCATATTGGCCAACTTGTACACCGCAATGAGGTTGGCCTCTGAAATTTTCTCCAGCAGCTCACGCTTCTCGTGGCGCACCTGCAGTCGCACAGTATATTCTCCCTTTTCCAGCTTTGTGAAGAACGTGTGGGAGTGCGCGTCGCCGGTGGCCAGCAGGGTTTTGTTAACATCGAACAGCATCCACATCTGCGACTCAAATTCCGCTTCGTAAAGCAAATCGTTAAACAGCGGTGCATACAACGCCACATCCGCTGCCTTGTTTACGTTCAGATTGTAGACGAGCATATTCTGATAGATCTGCCTGCCCTCTGGGATGACATCACGTGTGGCACTCAATGGCGAGATCTTTGCCTCGCTTGGTTTGAGCACGACCGCAGCAGTCTTCAGCTGCAGCGATGGTTGAACCTCCTCGGACACCAGTGCATCAAGTTCCAACTTGTGTATGCCACGACCAGCGTGCATGACATCTGAAAGAAGAATGGTTAACAAATTTCGATACTATTGTTAAACATGGTATTGAGGTAATATTTACATGCATTTGGATTGAGTGCAGTCACGCCGTGAAACTCGAGACTGTATTTCAAATGACTCTGGCCATGATTGGACCAGTACTTGGCAATGCACAGCTCCAGTATTTTGTTGGCCTGCAAGATTGTTTTTTAGTTAATAGACTCTTTAAGAATTTTGCTTCATTTTCTTCTCACCTTCACACGGAAGGTAGCCGTGGCATCAAATTCCGAACTGACACCAATAATCTTCATTGTTTCCAGCTTGCGACAAGATTGATTTGGTAACAATTGATTCGTGTGTAAGAAGAACTTGCCAACGTCGTTGCCACGGTTGGGATCAGTTAGGCGCATGCGCAGCACTTGAGAAAGGAGAGATAGATTTATAACTGATTTTAGCAATATTATTAAGCATATATGCACCTGCCCAGGTGGACTTGTCTGGCACTTGAATAAAGTCCCTTTGAATTGTATTGGGTTGAAACTCAACGCTTTTATCAGCCCTATTTGAAAACGGCTCAAATATGGGAGTACTTTGGGTATCTTCCAATACATGGGGCTGCACCACTGTAACTGGTATCTCAAACAATGGGCCCTTCTGCACATTGGCCGTATCATAGGCACGGACGCTGCAGTTGTTAAAATAGTTTAGGTTAATACACAAAAGTATACTTGATATTTAGCTGCAGGTACTCACACAGCACTGTGCACACCTGGCTGCAAGCCAGTCGGATCAATTCGAACAACAATCGAGCGAACTCCATAGCTAAGGTCCAGGAAGGCGCCACACTGCACCCAAGACTGCGAGGGCACAAGACTGAGGCGCACATTGAAATTAAATTTCTCCTTGGGATCTGAAACGTTAGCAAGCATTTATTAAGTACTTAAGATGAGTGTCTCAATGCTCAACTTACCCACTTCCTTGTCATTGAAATAGACGGGCTCAATGTTGACATTGAAGTCAATGAACTTGCGCTGCACGCCATCGCGAAGATGAATGCCCTTTGCATTGTTGTTGCCCACGCGCACAGAGAAGCTGCAACAAGAGAAGAAACAAAAGATGAAGCAACTATTTGTATCCATACCCAAGGCAAACAGTATTTACCGCAACATGTTGTCCTTGGATTGCCGATGCTCAACCAAATGCTCAAATGCCTTCTCCACATTGAGTAGACCGTGGCCTTGGGCGTAGGGATCCACATAGCACAACTTGTTGGCCGTGACGCTTATCGCCCGCTTAATACTATACGGCGAATACTCAATCTGCTGTTGCTTTAGCCCGGAAATAAGTAAGGCCACTGCACCGGCCACATGAGGTGCTGCCATGCTAGTGCCGTTCATCAGCTGCGATTTGCTCATGGTGAACTGTGGCACGGATGTGATGGCGCCCCCTGGTGCGCACACCGTGACGCCCTGTCCGCCATCGATGCAAGGGTCGCGTGATGTCCAGGTGTAAACATTACCAGGCAACTTCTCACGCATCGCATACTCGGCCTCCATCATCTGTGGCGAGACGTAGGCACCCACACCTATCAGGCTCGGCTGACTGATGTCAGGAGGAGTACCAACTGTGCTGAGAGCCGGTCCATGATTGCCCGCCGAGGCTACCCAGACAACGCCGTACTTATTGACCACCTCGTTCATCAGCTCACCAATGCGACTGCAAATAAGTGGAGAATAGCAATTAAAAGATGGCGAATATTCAGAGAGAGCTAGGCCTAAACAAGAACATGAATGGTGTTATTCAATCGTTGAACTGTATCGAGAAAGAGATTAACCGAGTGTGAACACTGACGCGCATTTGTGGAATGAATAAGGTGTGGGATAGAATAGGAGTTGGGCATGAGAATGTAGATCGATTTACCTCAGTGACTTTATCTTGATTCTTCTACGCTTTTTCTCAAGTTCATCAATCTCGCTAAAAATGACAATTTTCATGCTCTAGCTGCTACATGGTAGCCATTGCTTACCCGGAGTTAGACCAGTTCGAGTGCTCGCCATAGCTCATATTGATCACATCGATGCGGCGACCCTCGCGACAGAGCTCCATCACCTTCATTATGCCGCGAACCAGCGCTGTACCGGTTTCCATTGAACCCAAGCGACCGTCGCCAATGGTCAACGACACAATTTTAGCATTGGGTGCAACTCCATCAATGTCTCTCGAGTTGTGGTTGCCACTCGCAATAGACGCAACGTGAGTGCCATGAGGAGCTATAATTGATTAATTGACAAAAAAGGAACTTTAGTTGACTGTCTACTTGTCAATAAGGTACTTCTGCTTACAGCACATGCCCACAACTTCCAGCACATTGCCGTCGTCGTGTACGTTGACAGAAATCGAGAGGAAATCATCCACATTTTTCGTCTCATGCGTCCTGGAATATTCGCCAATGTGCAATGCTTTTGTCAGATCACCCTCCTCTGTGGTATCGATGATGGTCAGCCAGCCATTTTCAGTTGGCATAAGAACGCAGTCATATGAGACCCTAACATCACTGTACATCTTCTCAAAAGAGTTGAGCATTTCCAATTCATAGTCAAGGTTCTCCTTGATTATCTTCTTGTCCCACGGCAGCTTGGACGCTTCTCCTGCAGGACAGATCATTAGTTTGATTTCTTAAAAGTTCTAATTAGTTTTGACTGACCAGGATTTTGAGATTCAAATTCAACAATTTTGCGGTTGGCATTTGCCGTAGCAGTTTTGTGTGGCTTGTCCCAGCTCTTAAACTTCGCCTGGGCGACAATATTGTCGCGCACTTTGGCCGGCACCAAGTCGTTGAAGCTCTTTAAGCCCACGCGTACTGCGCGCTCCTTGTCTGTGTTGAGAGCAAGCAGTTGGGGAGTGAACTTCAGCGAACGACCAGACAAGCCCTTTACAATGCCATTCTCATTCGGTATCAATTTCTTGCTCATATCGACATCGCCGCAACCCGAGCAATCGAAGCGCTCAATTACTTTCACCGTTTTGCCATCGCACAGAGTCTATTGAATAAGTAATTTAAATAACTGGAAATGCCATATGATGTGCTTGACAGTTACTTACTTCAAGACCCGTTGCACGGGGATCTACACCAGAATCGAAAATGGCGATTGTCACATCGCGGCCATCGTATTCTGGGTATTTCTGCAAAAAGTTCAACACGCCCGTCTCCGCCTTCGGCACCTACCATCAAAATAATCACAATTTCGTATATAGCCTTCATAGAATATATGCTTACCAATGCTGCCGTAGGAAATGATGACTCGACAATGCCGCTTAAGTCACTAGCCATGTTCTCGAGTAAATTATTATCGTTCTTATCGTTTTTTAACGCAGCTAGCACAGTATTTTGATTGATTTGATCGATGCGATTACCAAGTATAATATTCGTGTCTTTGCGGTGTTGAAACGATGAATGCTGTCTGCGTTCTTGCCTTGTCGGACCTTTAATAGAATGATTTTGCGGTAATTTGCTTTCTTCTCTGCATACGTGTGTATATATTTAAGTGGATTGTGGCGTTGCCATACTTGCACAGTTCAGCTGCTTAGAGCCGCAACGCCTCCCAAGTTTTTTTTATTAGGCTTTAACGTTTATTTAATCAGCGAACATTTTGAAAGCGAAAGAACGTATCTCTATTAGCTAGACAACATTTAATAATATTTACAAGTATGTTGCATTCTGATTATAATGTCATATAAAAACTAGTTTGATTGCTCGTTGGGTCTATCGATACATCGATAGGCGTTCAAACATAACAGCTGTTTGTTTCTCTGACACTTGGCCGTGTTTTTTTTTAATAGCAAAATAACACAATAAATTTGGTGTCACAGTCAAAATGTGGTTCGAAATCTTACCATCCGCCGCAATCATTACGGTGGCACTCTCCGTGCCCATATACGCAATGTATGGTCTGCAGAAGCTGACACTGGGCAACGTAAGTGTTTGTTGGAATAACACAAAATTCTTATATAATACTCGTCGTTGACTGTGTACTAAACGTAATTTATAAAACATGATTTAGAGACGCGTTTTTAGAGCAATCAAATGCATTGAAGTTGTAACTGAAGCACACACACTCACACACATATACTTCCAATTATGTCTTATTTGTTATTTTATTGATTGCAGGCCTATCGCCGCAACATGGACGAACGCTTCGACCGTGTTATGTATCAGCGCGATTTCCGACTGACCAACAATCCCTACGTAATGAATGTAAGTGATATCTCTAATATTAGTTTCATATGCATGCCAAGTATCATCAGTCTACCTGATCATTTCTATTCAGTTTTCTTAATTGAGTTTCATTTGTGATTGTAACATGTAAATATAACCATATAATGCTATATTATATTTATTTTACATATTTTAAAATCATAATTAAGCTATCTCTGTTAAAGTTCATATTCACTTATTGCACAAATTGTTTGACAAAACTTAATTTAGCTATAATTTATTCTGGCTTTTTCATCTTTCACTTTTGCATTCTCAATATAATAATTAATACCTGTAATATAACATATCATTATTTTCTGTGTAATATTCGCAAAGATATATTTACTACCTAATCGTCTCCATTTAATCCCTATGTTGCACGTAATTCCTAATAGATTTCGCGTTAATCATTGTTATCATCATTACTCACATTTCCCTATTTAATTCCCTATGTTATATGCGATGTATGGCGATCACAGCTAATGCTTCTACATTTAGTCCTTATGTTGCACGCACTGCCAAATAATCGTGAAAAATTCTGCTTCAATATTTTGAAAATTCGAGAATATGTTTCATTCTCTTACAGGGTCTTAATGCTGTACCAGATGAGGATAGGAAGTAAATGTAAACCTAGTTGAAATTCTGTTAAGCTTAAGTGCAAAAAGTGAATAAAATTACAAATCGAAACTGAATTAAAATTGGAGTTAAAATTGAAAATATATATTTAAGTAGTATTTCTTTAGTTCTCATTAGAGTTTATGCTCGGTGCTTTCGAATTCATTTACAGGGTCTGAAGGAGATTAAAGAAGAAGACGAGTACGAAAAAGAGAAGAAAGAGAGAGAAAAGAAAAAAGAGCAGGATAGCAAAGAGAAGAAGAAACAACAAGAGTAATTAAATTTAGTTATTGTTTATTTGAAATAATGATTTTTGTAGTTGAGCTTTGTAAACAACTGGAATAAACAGAACGGGAGAAGCAACCCTGTGTGCTTGTTGTTGCCTGTGCATAAAAACCACCCCTATGGGGATGCTTCCCCCAATTGGGCTGTCAACCCAACTTTTTGGTAGTATTCTGGAAAAAGGCGTCGACAGAGGCGAGTGTACGGCGTATACAGCTCGATGCGCCTCGCAATTTTTACTATTTAAGTTTTGCCAGCATCTTAAAAAGTGCTCCAAATAATAGAAATCTCTGTGAAAATGTTTGTGCAAATGTGTTCAGCGGGTGCCTAAAAGCGGGCGATTGAAGTTATTGGGAAATTTCCAAGTGGAAACAAACAAAAGCGCAAAGTGTACACAAAAGCTGCCTCTAAGAGTATTTACATATACAGAGACACAAATACACGTACACACACGCTCACACTCCGGGCAGCCATGGTGGTTAGGGATATTGAAAGTTTTGTGTATGTGTTTGTTGGGCTTTGCGTGTTTTTGTTTACATGCGAAGCGAGTGGTAATTCCTTAAACGCCATCGACATGGAGGAGCCGGCTAGACGCCACCACCAGCGACATCATAATAGCGAGTACGAGCGGGAGCGGGAGGAGAAGGGCTATTGTGCGCCGTACAATGGCAAGGTGTGCAAGCAGTTCATCACCGGACCAGTGTGGTATAGCCTGGAGGATCCGTCGGGTGGCTGGCGCAATGAGCAGATCACGACAGCACTCTGGGATGAGCTAATTATGGACTTGAGCGGACTGTGCCGTGAGGCAGCTGAGGTAGGCTACATCCCTGCATATACTCCCCTTAAAAAGGGACTAAATTGGCATCTCTTCTCTTTGCAGAAAATGCTTTGTGCTTATGCCTTTCCGCGCTGTCATGTGGAGAATGGCAAAGCCATCAAGGCGCCGCTCTGCTTCGAGGATTGCCAGGCAACTCATCTGCAGTTCTGCTACAATGATTGGGTCCTTATTGAGGAGAAGCGGGAACGCAACATGTATCTCAAGAGTCGCGCTCACTTTCGGCTGCCCAACTGTACGGCCCTACCTCACTATGATGCCAGCATGCGCTGGCCCAGCTGCTCATACATAGGTCTAACAGAGATCAAGGAGTCGGAGGTTAGCTGTAAGTGGAAACACCCAGAGTCTCTTTTGAACTAGTAGCCAGTAACCTTGTCTCCTTTCTAGATGACTGCCGCAATGGCAATGGGCGTTACTATCTGGGCAGCATGAATGTAACCAAATCGGGCATACCCTGCCAGCGCTGGGACACACAGTATCCGCACAAGCATATCCAGCCTCCTCTAGTCTTTCAGCAGCTGACTGACGGCGAGAACTATTGCCGCAATGCGGGCGGAGAGGAGCCCTATCCCTGGTGCTACACCCTAGATGAATCTGTGCGCTGGCAGCATTGCGATATTCCACTTTGTCGTAGGTTTACCTGTATTCCTCTACTCTTAAATGTAGCTAAGTCTAAGTTGAATTGCTTTTCCAGCTGACTATGTGGATCCGAGTGCCAAGGACTTGAATACGCCCATTAAGATGGAGGAGTTCTTTACGCCCTCGATGATATTCCTGCTGGCTGGCATTGGCTTCATTGGCATTGTGGCACTTCACTTGATTATACTGCTCGCCTACAAGCTGTCCAAGCACAAGGAGTACACGCAGCCCCAGTCGCAGGCAGTGCATGGTGAGTGCGGCACCAACTTGTCGGCAAGTCGCGAAACCCTCGGCTCCACAGGCTTTGCTCCCAACAGCATCAAATGTGGCACCATACGCAGCACTGCAACCATACACAGCGTCAACTGTGTGATGCTGACGACGACGGCTGCGGTGCAGCAGGAGCCGAAGACGAAGCTGAACGCACGGCTAGAGAAGCTGGAATATCCGCGAGGAGACATTGTCTATGTGCGCTCCTTGGGACAGGGCGCTTTCGGTCGCGTCTTTCAGGCCAAGGCGCCGGGACTTGTGCCTGGCAATGATGACCTGCTGGTGGCTGTCAAAATGCTGAAGGACGATGCTACCGATCAAATGCAAACGGACTTTGAGCGCGAGGCCTGCCTGTTGGCCGAGTTCGATCACACGAACATTGTGAAGCTGTTGGGAGTCTGCGCCTTGGGGCGGCCCATGTGTTTGCTCTTCGAGTACATGTCGCCGGGTGACTTGAGTGAATTTCTGCGTGCCTGCTCACCGTATGCCACACATCAGGCCCAGCCGCACAATCGCCAGCACCTGGATGAGCTGCAGCTGCTCCACATGGCCTCGGATGTGGCCTCGGGCATGCTCTACCTATCCGAACGCAAGTTCGTGCATCGCGACTTGGCCACGCGCAACTGCCTCATCAACGAGCAGATGACCGTGAAGATAGCCGACTTCGGTCTCTCGCACAAGATCTATCTGCAGGACTATTACAAGGGCGACGAGAACGACGTCATACCCATACGCTGGATGCCCATCGAGAGTATACTGTATAATAAGTTCTCCTTGGAGTCGGATGTGTGGGCCTTTGGCATCTGCTTGTGGGAGATCTTCTCCTTTGCGCTGCAGCCCTACTTCGGGCTGACACACGCCGAGGTTATCAAGTACATCAAGGAGGGCAATGTGCTGGGCTGTCCGGACAATACGCCGCTCTCTGTGTACGCTCTAATGCGCCGTTGCTGGAACAGCAAGCCAAGCGAACGACCCGGCTTCGCGGAGATCAATCACTGCATTCAGCACAGCATTGCAGAGAGCGAATGCAAGGCGATGCTCTAGGCTGGAAAGCGACTCAGCTAATTCAGCGCAGAACAAATCGAAAGTGAAATCGAAATTCCGTCATTGTTTGAAGGCATCATTTCAACGAATCCGTATCCGTAAACTTAATGCTCTCCAGCTTGTCTTCCGGAGCATCTACACACACTTAACATAACAATAATATAATCAAAATACGGACTTATACAGAATAGTTTCTCTTAGCTTATATAAGTCTTTGGAATTGTTATTTGTTTTTGTATAAACCTTCTGGCATATTTCCTAGACGGCTTCACCTCCGAGAACTTGCTAAGTTTCCAGTTGATTTCACGTATGCCAATTTATTTGCTAGTTATTGCATGATATCCAAAGCACTCCATATTTACATTAAGTATGATATCTTATTATTATAACAATTACGATATATTTACTTTTCCACAACGAATGCATCACAAGTCAGCCATTATTTATTGGTACTCGTATCTCATATCTAGTCCGTAGACACAAAAATAAGGTTAATTCACTAAATATATACATAATTACATTTATATATATATACATGCATTGCGGATTGAATTGCAATCGGTTTTTATTTAGACTTAAGCTCGAATACTAGGGACCGGTCCATGCAAACGAATATGAAACGAACAAACAAACACCGAAGACCATCAAAACAATAAGGAATCTATGAATCAATGAATCTATCTATATAAATATGAAAATATCAAATATTTAGAGAACTGTCTACAGCCTCAATTTCTTAGGACATTTACATCATAATCTTGTAACTGAAAATGTTAATCTAATTTGTATAATATAACTTTCATAATCAAAAACAAAAAGTATCTTTCCATCTAGCAATAATAGTAGTCATCGTCGTAGTAGTCGTAGGGATATGGGCGACGACATGGATAGGACACAGGTACAGGCACAGGCAGCGGCAGCACGCCAAGTCCTATGCCACCATAACCATAGGGTCTATATCCTCGATAGCCGCCATAGCCGCCAAATGGTCGGCCGTAGCCACCTCTAATTGGTCCTCCAAAGCCAGGTCTTCTACCGCCAAAGCCACCAGGTCGTCCGCCATCGAAGCCAGGTCTTCCTCCACCAAAGCCACCAGGTCTCCCGAAACCTCCTCGACCGCCACCACGGCCGCCTCCGCGACCTCCTCCACCATGACCTCCTCCACCATGGCCGCCGCCGCCATGGCCTCCTCCTCCTCCTCCTCCTCGTGCAGACGACAGCTCCAGCATGCTTAAAAACAATGCAAGAAGCAATAAAATCCACAATTTCGACATATTTTAGAATACTTCCAAGTTGTTTCCCTTTCGTATTGCGACTAAAAAAACATCAATTCCCAATTTGTGGATAGGCAAGCTTTACATATATATAGCAAATCAATTAGAATATCTATAATAATTGGCAAATCTGAACTTTACTGTTCTGAAAACCCCCTCAAATATCACATTTCACATATGCATTCATAGTATATATATTTATATATATTTGTTTCGCAAAACAAAGAAACGTAGCTCGACTTTGCGATATCACAGAGACCTAAATAGATTCAATATTATACTTAAAAATCAGTTTGTATATATGTAGGCTTAGTTTCAGTTGATTTTGGGGCAGTTGGTGTTCTTGCTGAGAACCAGCCTATCCGGATCCAGGGACAGTCGCTTGAGCACATCATAGATCTTCTCCCGTATCTCCACCACAAAATCTGTTTCACGTCCCAGTATCCAGATCTGATCCGCATAGCCAAGCGATCCAATGCTTCCGCATGACCACAGGATAGCATAGTTATCGTAGTCCGTGTAGAGCACCTGGTATTTCCCGGACCCAGGCAGCAGACGGGCTATCACCTCCGGAAAACGTGTGTTGAACTGCGATTGTTTGTTTAGAATTGTTAGTGAGATGCTGAGCTATTTAGATGATAATGATGATGATGATAATGGTCATGATTATATATTCCCTGAACAATGCTGCCAATTTACGATCTAAATCCTGCATTACTTCCTTCGCTGCTTTTATGCATTATTAAACCTTCTAATTCTTTGAATTTGCATTTCTTATTCTTGACTTCATCTGTGCTTCGTTTTCAATATTTATATAGCTGACAGCACTAATGATTGTTCAAATATGATACATGAATGCGAATATTTGCTAGACTCACCTTAAAGTCCATTATTGAAGATTTGCTGTTCTCTGGCGTGGCGTAGCCCAGATTAACATTTGGATTGCCAGTGCTAAAAAAAATACAAAATTTACAAAGACTCAAAAAATATTCTTTTTAGTGTACTCTCTCTTAAACTTTCTCTCGCTATATATATTTATCTATCTATATCTATATAACTGTATCGTTCACATTTTCTTCCTATTTCGTTATTATATATATCTTCCCATATCTACAGCTTCCTCATGCTCCCACCCTCTGACACTATGTTTCTCTCGCCCACTATGTTTCCCTAATCCGCTGACTCTGCTCTTACTTACATGCGATTGACAGTTTTAATAGCCACCTCCACTTTGAAATTATTAAACTTGGACAGCTCCGCTTTACTATAGGGCTGGAATTCAAATGTGGTGCAGCCGGAGGCAATTTCTGGCAAGTAGAACGAACGCTCCACCTCGTACCAGTGACCCAGTACCTGTAAGAAATAGAAATAAAAATCCAAATCAAAATAGATTTAAAAATAACTGTAATAGGACAGACAACTATAAATATATAATAGATCAACTGTCAAACATAATTATATAGCTTCAATAAGAATTTCAAGCTGCGTTTCTCTTTATACGCCGATGAGTAAGCATTTAACTGGGTTACTATTAAGCAGAAAAAAAGTAAATAAAGAAAAAACAGATTCAAAAATAAAATGAAATAAATAGCTGCCTTCAGTCGCTGCGTAAAACATAAACATTTCAAGTATTTTTTATTTATTTAATTTTTTTCGATTTTTTTTTTTTTTTTTGGTAAACTGGTTTTACTGCTGCTCTCAAATATTGTCCAGTAGCTGATGCTGCTGATAGCCTCCGGCTGCTGGTTACTGCTGACTGCTGACTGCTAGAGCTGCCAGTCATAAAGGCCGCCACTGCATAATTATTCTTAAGCTCGAGGTCTTTGCCCCCCTCTTAAGGCGAATCATGTCAAAGCGAGCTTATCAACTGCTCAATTGGAGGCAACGAAGACTTTTATCATCCAATTAGAGGGCACAGCAGAGAGTCGAATGCAACGGAAGCTGCTGAGCTGATTACGTGACACGAAACATGCACGAGATAGCACGAAGGGAAGTTTGGAAAGTAGAAACGGTATAACAAAGGGCTATATCATGCTCCTCCTTTCACTTATATATTGTGTAAGCAATCTAGTTCTTCCACTTACAAGTAGCTTTTAAATTTAGCATGAAAGAAACTTAAATATAATTCAATTAGCATTTGTTTAGCTGTCTCTATGCTGTCTTTCTTCAGACTTCAGTTGCTTTAGCTATATAATATATTGTATATAAATTGTTTTCAGCTCTTTTCTGTTTTACGCTCATCTCTTAGCAGCTGTGTTTCGCCTTTGTTCGCTTTGTTAACTCTCACTAGTTTATTATGCTATGTGGATATGGTAATTTGTTGAGTTTTCACAGCGCGCGAATGGAACTTTAAGTGCTCTCAAGGCGGTCAACTAAATGTCTCCCTCGCTACACTCGGCGTATGATTAATGTAATTGGCCAGCTAAATTGATTCCAGTAATTTTCTAGTTTTTCAACTAAAAACAACAACAACAGCAGCAACAGCAACATTAGCAGTAGCAGTAGCAAAGATCTCTTTGATCTTTGGTCTCATTGTTGCTGTCCTTGGGCCGTTAAAGTGGCTTCTTGAATACGTTAATTGAATTGTTTGTTGGTTAAATAAATATAGGTATAAACAAATTTGTATAGACATATAAATAAATATATATACACATGTTTATATATCTTTATATGGATGTGCTTATAAAATTTGTTAAGCTTTTATGAACGCCTGGCTGTAAACTGGTTTGCACTTTTACATTGTTGCAGACTCTAAAAATTGGTTCAAGTTCAACTTTATGCACAATCTTTAAAGAAACAAAACAAACAGAAAAAAACAATCAGCGCCTGGTGGTAAAAATGGAAAATTTCACAGCTTTTTGTTTTGGAACTTGTTATTATTTGGCAAATGCGTCAAACATACAGTGAAATCTGCTAATGGGCGAACGCATGCCAGGTGGAGTTCTCCGATGCTAATGAGAGTTGAGCGAAATATCGCTAAAATTATAACTCTATCTTCACAATCTAAAAATATATATTTTGTAGCGAACTGTTCTAAAATTCTAATCTAAAGTTTAGAGAGCCTCAGTTGAAAGAGGAAGCCGAAATTTAGTTTCAATCATGGAGTAAAAGATATAAGCTGACAGCGCTTGGTAGTGCCTCACAATTTTCTAGCTTATTCACATTCAAATATACTTAATTTATTTTAATAGTTGTGACTGAGCAAACCGTAAATGGAGATTTTACTGTATACACATTTGTATATATTTGTTTTAATGCTTATTTGTTTGTTATAGGCGAGGGTAACTTACTCGACTCATATTGAACTTTGGCATGGATGGATACTTCGGGCAACGTCCAAATCCATACGCCTTTGTCTCTGCCACAAACGTGGATAACAATAAAACGCTTGACAATAGCGAAATACGCAAAATTGTGCAAAACTTCATTTGATACATATTTGCAATAGTGTATATATATATATGTATATATGTATATTTAGGGCACAGATTGACACAGTTTCTCAGCTATGATTGTTCTGCATAGAATGTTTAATTCGTAATTTTTCAATTTATTTGACGATTCACTTGATTATGCACAGTGGAGCTTCTGTTTTTTTTTTTTTTTTTTTTTTTTTTGGATGTCAGTTGGCCAATGAACGCTGAAGCATAGTTTTCATTTCCTTTTTTTGTTATTGTTTTATTGTGGCTTGTCGATGGACCTATTAATATTCCGTAGTAGAAATGTGCGATAATAAAAACGTGCTCGACTCGAGCCTGACTTTGTGCAGTGCAACAAATTGGTAAACAGTGAAAATGAAATGCTCTTTCAAATAAACCAAAAAAAGTATATATACGTATATATATACTTTAACTAGGTTGGCTCGTGCCTTGGCTAAATGTTACGTAAAAGAAAATTGGAGAAAAAAACAAATAAGAGTGCTTTAGTCGGCAGTGCCCGACTCGTTAATACCCTGACCAGGGTATCACACAACTATTACTACTATTTTTCATCTTCTCTTGATTTTTTCCCTTCTCAATTTTCTTATATCTTCCCTTTACTCTTCCTAACGTGGCTTCTCATCTGATATCCTCGTGTAATTCTCTTAAATTCCTATTTTCTCCTTCTTCTTCTGTCTCCCGTTGTCTTCTCCACTCTGGTATTCTCTTCTCCTCTTTTCTTTTCCTTCGTATGTGTAATGTGACTCATGTCCTGTTCTACCTGCAGCATATATGTTACCAAAAACAATCTACCCTGCTTACCCATTTCACCAATAAATGCAGGGTATTGAGCTAAAAACCAGACTACAGCAGGCTAAGCGATGCGAAAACGAAACGGACTGGCTGCCACACACACAGAGCTCCATTGTAAGTGGCAAATAAATGTGGCATGCCACAACAGCGGCAGCAACTGCAACTGCAACTAGTTGGGTGGTAACCGCTGCTCGAACAGGTGAATGTTGCGCATTCATTCGTTCATTCATTCATAAACAAAAGTAAAAGGTCCAATAAAGGAAGTCCACTGTTGCATGTGTCATGAAATTGATGATCAAATGTTTTTGCAAACCAGCTGTTATTAAACAATTAAATTGGCTCAAGTTCAAGTCAACTGTAACAGCAGCAATGGGGGAATAAAGGAAATATGAATAGCGAGCATTCCATAGACGAAATAAAGGAAGTCTACTCAGTTCATATCTTTCATAACACACTTCCAGGCAAATTTTGTAATAACTAACAAGTTATTTTAGCCATTAGCAGGCAATGAAAATTGGCAGTGAGTCGAGTGTTAAATTTTGCAGACAGACAAACAGAAAAGAGCGACAGTAAACAAACAAACCAAAATAACACAAAAAGCAAACTATTCAATTACATATATTTACGTAGTCATTCAGTTGCCAAGGCAATTGCAAAATTATGCTATTATTTCTTTATAATTTTAACTGACTTCAAGTAGTTATTGTCGTATCTTTGTTATCTCTTTGTTTACATATTTGTTTGCTGCGTATTCTTTCGCACTAGAAAGTCTTCTTTCTTTTCGAATTGTTTACCGACAATCAAATAGCATAGACTGCAACCGTACCGCTCGACCGTTGGAAATGTACTGACTGCTGTTTATCGTATAGGCATTTGAATTGCAAACAGTGTGACCGTCGCTTAATAATCAATATATATATCATGTGTGCATACACTGCTCAACTAATCGATAACAGCTTATCAGCCGACCTCCATATTTCTGTGGACTGTCAACAAATTGCAAACAGATTGTTTTATTTATTTTTTTTATTTCAATCAAGTTTCATTCTGCACTAATAAATGACAGCTGCTTAGGCAATTCAATTAATTCAAGTAACAGTAGATTAAGGACATGGCAGCGTGTGTGCTTTGTTTTCGCTGCTGCAACAATGATGAATCCTATCAAATATTCTCCGAACTTGGTTTGCGGCTCAACATTTGCAAAACAATAAACAAACACTTTTGGCTTGAGGTAAAGGCGCGAATATCTTACTTTTGTTTTATCACTTTTCCTTTTTCATTTGCAAACTATTTGCAGCTGAGCAGCGCAACTGGTGAGCACGAGCAAATATGTCGCCAGTGCTGGGAGTGCGTGAGCAGCTTCAATGAATTCTATCAGCGAGTCTACAATGCCCATCAGGAGAGACGCAGCGACGTGAAAAATGTGCAGATCGAGTTCTGTGACGAATCGGAAGCAGCAAATCCGTTGGCATTTGGCGGTGAGCTGGATGCGCTGGCTGAGGATTTCTTTGCCACGGGCGATGTCAAGGTGGAGGTGAACGAACTCGAACCGCTGCCCAAGCTAGAAGTACTCGAAGAGCAGTTGCTGGATCAGAAGAGCGCTGCTACAAAGAGACCGAGTGCTGAGCATCCAGCGAGTGCAAGACGACGCATTAAAAAAGAACAGCCAACGGTCAACAGTGATTCAGATGGCGATATACCTTTAGCTGAGTTTCTAGATCTAAATCCATCTGCAGCGAAGGGAGTCAAAGGACAACAGTTGCGTCGCAGCACACGTCGCGGACTACGTGCCAAAACGCCGCCAATATCCCCGCCCAGCTGCATGAAAAACGAGCACGATTCCGATAATGATAATGACATGGAGTTTCTACCTGCGGAGGCAGTGCTGGGCACTGAGGACAGCGCCAGCTCGAGCGAAACCAGCGACAGTGACTCAGACAACAGTTTGCCGGACATGGAGCCAGAGGAGCGCTATGCAGAGATACCCAAGCGTGTTGTAGTCAAGCCGAAGAAGTATCGAAAACGTCCCAAGCCTCTGATTCCGCCTGTGCGAATGAGCCGCGAGGAGATCGAGAAGCGGAAAGCGCAACAAAACGAGTTCGATAAGATCATCATAGATTTCTTCAAGAAGCTGCCGTGCCATGTTTGCAATCTGCTAGTGCCCAACTTCGGAGACATGCGGCGCCATCAGCGCATGTCCCACAACATGGAGAGTGGCTTCATCACCTGCTGCGGTCGTAAGTTTCACATGCGTCGCGCACTGGCCGAGCATGTGCTGGTCCACAAGAATCCCGAGCACTTTATGTGCACGCAGTGCGGTCGCATTTTCCAAGATTCCAAAAGTCTCGAGACCCACGAGCAAACGCATCAGAATCCGCAAGCGGATACGAAGGATAAACGCATGTATCAATGTGATAAGTGTCCCAAATGCTTCACCACAAAGGCTGCTGTGGAGTATCACAATGTGTCCAAGCATGTGCCCAAGTCGGATTTCAAATACACCTGCCCAGAGTGCAACAAGAAGTTAGTTAGCTTTGACCTCAAGTTTATACGTAATGCTAAATGCCTTGTTCCCTTTTATCACTTTGCAGAGTGCCCACAGAGCGCAAGCTGAAGGAACATTTGCGCTATATGCATGATCCGGAAACTGCCATCATTTGTGACAAGTGCGGCAAGACGTTGCGCTCCCAGGCGAATCTTAAGAAACACCATGAACTGGAGCATTCCGATAAGCCACGGCCAAAGCCCGATCCCGTGCAATGCGAGATATGCGGCACTTGGCTGCGCCACATGTCAGGGCTCAAGCAACACATGAGCACGGTGCATGAGCCGCCAGGTGGTGAGCATCGATGCCACATCTGTGACAAGAAGTCCACAAATTCGCGAGCACTCAAACGCCATATATACCACAATCATCAGTGCGAGCGAAAGTTTCGATGCACCATGTGCGAGAAGGCGTTCAAGAGGCCACAGGATCTTCGAGTAAGTGAAGCAGTCGACTTAAAGAAAGATCAGTGAGTCTCTATCGTGCCTATCTATATCTTTGCAGGAGCACACGTCTACGCATACAGGTGAGGTGCTGTACACCTGTCCGAACTGCCCGCAGACGTTCTTCTCGAATGCCAACATGTACAAGCATCGCCAGCGCTTGCATCGCGCCGAGTGGGAGGCGGATCGCAAGAAGCCGCTGCCACCGAACATAATGCAACAGGCAGTGGTCGCCACAACGGCCATGAAGAAGCGTCAAACCGCCGAGTCCACCACTGCTGCCACCCAGAAGCAGGAGACAAACAACTGCAACAATAGTAATAGTATTTAAGTAACTATTTATGTCATATTTAGAAATAGTTAAGAACGAAGAAGGAACTCATAAATATAATGCAGACACAAGTACACATTCATGGATTACAGATAGGTGATTATGGCTAGGGCTATTTAATGATCGTCCTGTGGAATGCGAATCGTCTCGCAGATGCCCTCCTCCCGGTGCACGCTCGCCCAGTGCTGCGACAAATGCTGGCTAATGGCTCGTCGAAAGACCATGCACGTGATGTGGGGCAGTTTCTCGAAGCGGACGCGCAGCAGGCCCAGCTTGGCCAGAGCGAATCGCCAGTTCTTCATGATACTGGCATTCTTGCCCACATGCTGGGAGTCGGGAGTGATAATGACTAGAATTCCCTCCGGTCCCAGCAGTTCATATGCCTTCTGGCAGCAAACCAAACGCTGTTCCGCACTGGGAATGTACTCCAGCAGGAGGCTGAAGATGACACAATGATAGTAGCCAGCAGGTAAGCTTTTTACGGTCTGATCGACAATCTCCGGTTGCTTCAAACTGGCGTCCACGCTCACTGTGAGAAAGTCACCTTGGAACACATGAGCTCCAGGTGCGGGACAAAGATCGATGGCTGTCACCTCCAGGTGTGGTGTATTGCCAAACGGATTGAAACAGCTGCCTACGTCCAGCACTCGCACACTGTCCGGTGGCTCATCCATGTACGCACACTCAGAATCCGCCAGTTCATTGTAGGAGGCGAGCAGGCGCTGCTCCCGCTGTCGCTTTTGCAGATAGATGCCCTCCGTGTAGAAGTACTTGATTATATAGTCGATGGCCCACTTGATGCGACTACGTGCTTGCAGCTCCGTCTTACTGGCATTCGATTCCCATATGCCAGCGAGCTGCTGCATTGCATCTGCATACTCAGCCAGCTTTTCAGCATTGTGGGGTGCCGTGTGCTCCTTCCAAGCACGCTCGGCTCCATACAATTTAGTGAGCTGTCGTAAGTTCTCGTGACAGTTCTTCACAATGTTGGCCAAGCGTTGATGCTCCTCCGTGGCCATGTTTTATTGATTTTGTATTTTATTTTCGTTAGATTTTTTGTTTATTTTCACTCCAGGCGCAACAAATGTGTGTACACAATTGAGATGAGCGATATTTACACACCTGTATACCTGTATTTTATATTTGCCACCACTGTAGCTCATGTGTGCAAGGCGCAACAGCGCATGTAAACAATAGTGTGCACGTTTGGGAAATCAATACTTGGTCATTTGTAAGGTATAAAGATTAGGTCACACTTGTCGCTGGCCGAACAGGAAGGTTTTTAAACCCAATAAGCGCATCTCGAACGAATGCACGAAAACTATATTACATATCCATATATACGTAAATTAACTTATGATCATTCACTCTGTTTTTGGTTGTTGTTGTACAAAAAATGCTATACAAGTGGAATCTAGAGTTGTGTTTATTGCTTAAAAGCGCAAGAGTTTGAAAACAAAAGTGTGGCCAAATACAGTATCAAAACTTGAATGTTTTCAGTGCCTAAGTCACAATTGTGAACGGATCGTTAAAGCCGCAACTTTTTTAAACCATAAAAAGTGAAACTTAAAAGGGGGATATAAATGTATATTTAAGCAAAACATGTAGAAAAGTAAATTTCCATTAGTTTCTTTTTGTGAGTGCAAAGAACAACTAAGGCCGAAACAGGTCAACTCTAGCTATATTCTAAATTGTGTGCACTAATTGAAAAAACATGTTTTTTCGAGTTCCTGAAGCAGTAAACATTAAGAATTGTTTAATGTATTGCACTTTATTTGTGCGCAAATTAAAAACTGTGAGTCAGCAATGTACACTGCATTGTTATGATTAAATTCATTTTTGCTCGAGAATCGCATCTATCCAGTTTAATTACAAACTAAAGCAAGTGCGCAAGTAGAAAAAACCATTATATAGAACGGATCGCACGTAATGCAAAAAACTAGTTTACTCTTCATTTACATCATGATTAAGCATGAGTAAGCAAATACATGCTACAACCGCGATTCCATTCACACATATTGATAAGCATTGAGAACCAGCCTATTAGCAGACAAACAATTGCTGAAACTATTTGTAAAGTGTCTTATCAGAGAACGTTGACAAATCCACAACTCAATTTTACACTCATATTCAATATGTATGTATGTGGGTGTGTGAGATCCATTGTTCTGAAAGTGAATCCGTTCTAAAGGTCAAGACCGAATAGAGTATACAGACATACCCATCCATTGATATGTGACAAATAAATAATTTACTTTCTTATGCCTATAGCAACATATAAATATGATATAACCACCGACAACGTCGCAGTTTATGCACATACATATATACATAGGACTTTTAACCCACGCCAATTAACTAAATTTTATTATTTTTTAACTTTACCTATCCAGTTTGTATTGATAAAGACCGGCTTATCGTCGCATTTGTTCCGAAAAGTGTTTACAATTGTAAAATGGTTTTGAAAATATTTTAGATAATAGAAAAAGTATTTTAGTGCAGGGGGCACTTTATCAATGCCAGCCGAAACTTATCGCTAAATAATTATCACTAAAATGCGTTCTTAAAGTGTTAACGCCGCTGTCCGATGGTCTCTCTGCCCAGCTACCGATAAGGATAAGAACGCATTCAACATTTGTGCGACAGTTCAGTCGTTGATGGCAAGTCAACTGAGGCGTGTCTGCCCTCTGCTCTGCTCTACTTTCTCTGCTTTCCTCCTTGCTACCAGTCACATCCAGAGTTCAACATGAAGATCGATTCGGCGACCATTAAGGCAGCCGGAAATAGATGCCAAGAACTCTTGGTCATGGCCATTTATACGTCATTCTTTTTTACATTGCCTTTGAATTCCTATTATGCCATAATTCTACTATTGGTAAGTACAAACAGTACAGTATAAGTACATTAAAGCAACTTTAAGTTGGCTTGGCAGGATAAAGTATCGATAAATATTTCGGGGGCAAAATACATTAATAACTGTGTGTGTGTGTATGTGTGCGTTGATAAAGTTATCTTGAAGCATGTCAACGCTCTAATACCCTTTCCAAATATAAGCTATTACAAAATCAAACTTTTATATAAGAATGGAATATGCTGAAGGAATTTGCATGCGTGAATGCACACATTTTAAAGACAGAGACCCCTGCTGAGAGTTTGCAAAAATGGTTCAGAGAGCGAGCAGCCTTCTCACTCTAGCTCTCATGCTAATTAGAATCGTGAGCAAATTTTCAATTTGGGGTGGGAGCAGCAACAGAGGATTAGAAGAGAGAAAATATAGAAGTGGCCATACTCTGTGAATTCTTATATACTTATATAAATATACATGTTCATTCTTTTGCAGATCTTTGGTAGCAATTTGTCACGCGCTCTCTTGCTCGTCTATTGGACCATTATCTATCTGCGGCACAAACTGAATGTTGCCCCCATCGATGGCAATGGGTATGTCTAAGGCTCGAATAATAGATTTTTGGCTAATTTTCACGATTGCTTCCAGCTGCATGCTAATGCGAGACAATGCGATAGGTCGCATATACCGTAGATATTTCCCCGTTCAATTGATCAAGACCGCTGAGCTGCCGCCCAATAAAAACTACATAATTGCTAGCTTTCCACACGGCATACTTGGGTAACTACTTGCATTAAGATATCTTATCAATAATTTTTTTTTATAAATGATTATATGACTTACTTGCAGCACCGGCATTTGTATGAATATGGCTTTCGATATTGGCGTATGGTTCAAACTGTTCCCTCAGGTGCGCCCAAAGGTTGCCACGCTTGATCAACATTTCTTCACACCTTTCTTGCGCCATTTTATACGCTGGTGGGGTCTCATCTCTGTGTCGAAGGAGTCGCTGATGTACTACCTCAACAAGTCGAATGATCCGCAGCATCCCGACAATCGTGATGGCTTCACCTCCAATGCGGTGGCTATTTTGGTAGGCGGGGCACAGGAGGCGCTCGACTCAAATCCTGGTGAATATATTCTAACGCTCAGAAAGCGCAAGGGCTTTGTGAAGATGGCCGTGCGAACAGGGTGAGTAGACAGGAGAAAAACTAACTGTATAACGCTTCCATTACATTCAACTATCCTCTCTCTTTGTCTCTTGTGAACAGTTCTGCTATTGTTCCCAGCTTTTCATTTGGCGAAGTTGACATCTTCCAGCAGGTGGCCAATCCGCCCAACTCGAAGCTGCGCAACTTTCAGATTGCTGTGAAGAAGCGAACGGGTATAGCGCCGCTAATACCCTTGGGTCGAGACATCTTCCACTATCCATTTGGCGTTGTGCCTTATCGTCGACCCATCACACAAGTTGGTAAGTAGACTGCAACACCTGATCCTCATAGAAACTAGTGTACAAGATGCCTCATTGCTGTTTAGTTGGCGCACCAATTGAAGTGGTGCAGAGTGATGAACCCGATCCTGCCTATGTCGACGAGTTGCACGGCAAGGTAATCAAAGCATTGGAGGACATGTTTGAAGAATATAAAGCTAAATACTTGAAAGACCCGGAGACAAAACAACTAATTATAAACTGAACACACGATTCAACTGTTTGGGACTGCCAACTCGTTCAAAAAACATTCGGGCTTTGAGGATTTTCACATAGACGCGGACAAGGTCACACTTAAAGCTTTTTAAATAGCCAAATCCTATTGTAACCCAAAAGAAAATTCAGGATTATTATTTAAGGTGCAATTGTTAGTGATTTTAAGTGTTTAAGCATTTGTCTACGCTTTTAGTATTAAGTTGTTGATTAGCAATTGTACACAATAAAGAGGGTTAGTTGGTTAATTTTAACGAAAGCGTATGTTCTTTTTATTAATATTATTATTAATTATTAATTTACCAATTAAATTTGTTACTTCGTACATAAATTTTATATACAAAAAGAAATAGGAGGAGGATTCGAAATTTCATATTTGGAAAACTTAACTAAATGTTGTTTATTTTTTTTTTTATAGTTGATTTTGTTTCTTAAGTGTTTTGTGCCATTAACTTTTCATTTTGTTTATATATATTAGGTAGGTTCTATGTACTAAATAGAAGTTTTTCCTTTTTGTTTTAACAATTAATAACTATAAGGAATTTGTTAAAAATACAATATTATGCTACACTAAATTCAATCGCAGAATCTTCAATTAAGGTACAATCAAATTTTTCTATCTTCCTACCCTTCTTCCATTTTTTTTTTTTTTTTTTTAGCAACAAATCACTTTTCGACTAAACAAGATTTTACTAATGCTTTTTACTAAATTAAATGAAATTAATTATTTTTGTCTTTTTTGCATATGCTGCCTAATTAAATAGTTGGCTTTCGAATTACTAAATTATTATAAATTATCTATAAATAATTGAAAAACTAAAATCCATTTAGGAATCTTTTGCTGTTGAAGGAACACTTGGCATTTAGTTGGACTTGGGATTCGGATTACTAATTTGTATATCTGGCAAATCTGACACTTGTGTTAGCTTTAGAAAATGCATTTAGGCTATAACAAATATATATCTCGTATATATGTATGTATATATGATTATCTTTTTGTAATTTTTAGTTTTCAAAAATTATATTCTGTGGGCTTCTTTTCTTTTAATTTTACCTATAATTTTCCTTTTCTATATATCATCTATAACTTTCTGTTGTATAATTGGGATTCTAGTTATGCATGTGTGGTGAGTGTCTGTATGGTTGTGTGTGTGGGTGACAAAAATATATGTTTATATATATATGCTATATATGTATGCATGTAGTAGAAGCAATTCAATTGCTTTACATTCCAACTATATAAATATAAATTTGTCATTTTTGTTTCTTTTAATTTAGCAATACAAAAATGTAGTTTTCTTTTCTTTATCTTTTTGGCATAAACTTTTGATGATGTTTACAATTACAATTGTTCAAAGATTTTCTTTAAAGAGTCTAAAAAACATGTTGCTAATTTTCTCATATCATATCATATATAGTTAAATGCTATAGCTCTCATTTGAATTCTATTTCTACATTTAGTTTTAGGTACTAGCCAGGCAGCCGATTTGTGTGTTTTTGCAAAAAGGTTTTTACGATATTCGCTGTGCTTCCAAAAAAGCGTATTATCTAAATATTTTTGGGTTTCTCTGTGGTATTCACCATCTTCTTTTTCAACTTCTGGTTTTTATTTGGTTT